TTTTTTTGGATGATATCAATATTTTTTTCTTCTTTCTCTCACTCTTTTACATAAACATCCTTTTTTTTTTTAATAAATACAATTTAAAAAAAAAAAAAATTTCTCCTCTTATTTTTTGATCTTTTGCTTTTTCAAATTTTTTTGAATGTATTAATTAGCTATTAGGAGAGCAAAGATTACTCCCAAAATATTACAGCTATTGTTTGTGAAATTAAAAACTATCGATTAATTGATTCATTCATATTTTTATTTTTAATTATCAAATATAAGTGCGTATATATTTTAGAATATATTTTATCATATTTATGAGGTTATTCTGTTCATAATAATGTCTAAATTAGCTCCTACTTTGAGACCAATTAAGAATTTCTAATGTAATATGCCAAAAATGGAAAATAATTATTGGATGTGAGGGAGAAAAAATATGAAATTGTATAATTAATAGCATAGAATAATTTATGAGCAAAAAAAAAAAACCCTTCAAGCAATTGATTTTTATAAATTGCTAGCTTTTGATAATTAGTGAAAGGTGTTAATTGATGCAATGTAATTTTATAATAAATAATTTTCAAAATACTATTCAAAATATAAATTTGAATAACTAACCGTTAGATTGTGAGGTACTGGGTGGTGTTGGCAAATGCACAGCGGGTACCGAATGATGTATTGATTGTGGTGGTACACCTGGTGGTATTACGGAACCCATAAACATCGGATTAAAAAGCATAGGTGGCCGTATTTGACTTACTTGTGCTATCATTGTTAACAGTTCAGGCCTTGGAAATGGCATTCGAGCAGCCATAGCCATAGCTAACTGTTGTTGTTGCCATGGATTAAATTGCAGGAAATGCTGAGGAATTTGGCCATTAATAGCAGTGATTGTAGAAGAAGCACTAGGAGGTAGCAATGGTGGTGGTGGTGGTGGTGGTGGTGGTGGTGGCGGTGGTGGTGGTGGTGGAATGGTGCTAATCATCGATGGACCACTAGCAATGGTAATAGCTGAATCTGATGATGGTGGTATCGAATCACGACCATCACTCCATGATTTCCTCTCAGCTGATGTTGATGCTCGTTCACGATCATCTTTACTGCTTCCGTATCCGGTAAAACCACCACCACTTCCTTCACCTGTATTAGTTGATAATGTTTCTGCAATCGACCAAATTTTCCTTTTTTTCGGTGTCGTTGATGCAGCTAATGCTGATGATCGTGGTAGATTACATGGTGATGGTGGTGTGACTGATTTCGAGTGTACATCACCGGATGCATCTAAAAAAAAAAAAAAAACATTTCAAAAATTGTTCAAAAAAAAAGGAAAAATATCATCAAATATATAATACAAATAATAACCATAATGCATTTAATTCGATAATAACAATGTTTGATTGAAATGTAATTTTCGCATAATTTCTATATGAACAAATCAATAATTGATAATTCGCTAAAATTGAACAGACATTTTTGAAGGTTGTTTTTAAGATGATTGCGTAATTGGTAATTAATGATGATTTATAATTAACCTTGTTCACTGGAATCATTGATTACAACGGAGATATCACCATCGGAAGCACTACTACACGGTCGATCGGAGTGATTTTGCTCGGATGATGCATCAATATCACCAAGATCATCATCATCATCTTCACCTGGTCGATTACGTGGTGACCAGGTCATCTTGTTTTCCTTCTTTAGCCGTCGACGAGCATTTGCAAACCATGTTGACACCTGAATTCATTTTATTTATTTTCTTTTCTAATCATTTTTTTTTTTTTTAGTCATAATTACAAACTTGATTAGTTGATAAACACACTTAACTATTTATTAGCGATTTGTCTGCTGCACTCTCCATTACTTTATCATTTATCGCATTATTTGAACACTATATTTTCTTTCCTAACACCTATTCATTCATTCCAATTTAATTCTTTTACCGTCTTTGATTATAATATTTGAAAGTTTTGTATAGTTTAAAAGTCTCCTTCATCAGATCGCATAACTGTATATTTATCATAGCAAATTAATTTCAAAAAAAAGAAAAAAAAGAATTCGAGATTTGTACCCTAAGTGACAATTATGATTGAATGATAAAAAAGACAAATCATTGGTCAGTTCGATAGGTTATTCTTAGCAAAATGATAACATGATTTTATACAAATATCTTTTCGAAGAGCAAGAATGTTTAAATAGAATAATTGGAATTTAAAAATTTTTCCACACGTAATGTTTTTTCGCTCATATTTGAATTAAAATGAAAATGATCAAATTCATAATGGAAAAAAAATGTTGAAAATTTAGAAAAGGAAAAAAAGTAATGTTTGGCTTTGTGATAGCGATGAAAGATCGAGAATGCCTTTATCATTGATCATAAACGAGAAAACAATCCAATAGTTTTTAACCCATTCTTACCTTGTTAATAACTAACATAGTTTTTCTGATTTCAGTACAAAAATTCATGAATTAATTCTCCGTCCTTTTATAAAATTAGTAAAATTAAATGAATTTTAAATTCTCACTAAATTTCACTCATATGTTGCTCTCATAAAATTTAAATATTGTAAGAAAAAAGAAGCTAAATCAGAAAAGAATTTTTTTGAAAAATATATTTTAGAAAATTTAGAAAAATATTAGAAAAAAATTTGAAAATATATTTTATTGGTAGAGGAGTTAGGGAGGAAAAATTGAATATGACAAAAGAAAATGAAAATTATAAAAAGGATCATTTAAAGATGAAATATTATTGGATATTATTAGTGATGACATATTTGTTATTCGGAAAATATCCACCTGTCATAACTGAAGATGAAAAAGCCCTGTGAAGAGATAGGCCTCATTTAGTTATGTTTAAAATTTATCTAGCAACCAAAATTTAATAGAAATTGGTTAGGGTAAACATGATTGCTAGCCTAGCCGTTTACAGTAGCCGTTTACAAGCAATTTGCTTTTAAATTTTAGAAATGAAAAATATTTTGTTTGAAAAAAAAAGACCTAAGATTTGAAAAAAAGACCTATTGTTTTTCTGTATAATCTGAATTTTAATTTGAATTTCTACGAAATTGAAACAGAATATGCATATGCATAATTGATAATAAAAATATCTTTTGTAGGATTTCACAATCAAAAATTTTGAACTGTTTTGAACTTTTTTGATTTAATCCAATTTATTCAATTGATTTCTTTTTAAAATAAAATTTAATCTCCTGGTTAATAAATGAAAGAAAAAACACAAGTTATACTTGGATTTTTTTCTTTTCTTTTTTTAAATCCATAAAGCAAAAGGAGATTTTTATTTAGTCTAAAAACAGATCAAAGTAGCAAATAACTTATCTTAAATCATTTCAATTTAATTATTTATAGCAATAAGTTTAAGCATAAATGAGGTAAGGATTAAAATCTGAAATTGCAATTGTCAATTTTTGTCAACTTCTAATCAGTGTGAAAATGGCAAATTATTGAATCAATTTAAGGTTGTTATCAGGAAAATCAATCGTCAATCTGACATAGACAGTCCCTTCTCAACTGTAATGAATCAATCTCATTACAATCCTTTCCTTTCCATTTTCATCCATCTCTACAGCTCATGAATGACGCAATTAATGATTTGATAGTTGTTAAGCTTAAGCTGTAAAATTTTTAAATGTGCCAAACATATGCTAATAATTATCATCATTAGCACCATTACATAAATCTTGTTAGCTAATTTTGCATCAACATTAATGTCCGAATTGATAAAAACGGTAAAAGAAATTAAGTCATTCTATTTAAGTTAATCCTATCATTTATAAGTTAAATTTAATTTTGCAAACGGAAAATTTTTGTATCAATGATAGTTGGAAGAGGATGACCTGTAGAGATTGTGATTTATCAATGATATTGGATAAATTCGAATATTTGATTGTAAAATATTGGATAATTTGGAGGACTGATAAAAAATGCTATCAATATAATTTATATATCAAATTAATCGCGAAGGAATAATCCTTGATAGCAAGAAAATAGAAAAAAAAAATGCAACAAATAAACACTTTTGCACTCCATTTTTTTCTCCTAAAGTGTGAATTAAATTCATTCAACAGTAAAAACTTAATAATGCTTACAATAATAATATATATGAAATGAATGAAAAAAAAGAAAAGTAAAATAAAAGACAAAAATTATCTCAGGTTTAGATTTGAAAATTGAAGCCAAGCATATAATCCATCGTGTTTGTTTCAAATCAATAAAACAAACATATCTTAAATTAATACGAAATAAAATTAATCTTTCAATATAAACATATATTTATATTTATTTATTTATCAAAGTATCATTTCATATTGAAATTTGAACCTTTCCATTTTTTTTCTTCACTTCCATAAATGCCTATCAATTTTGAAAAAAAAAAAATCATACAATCAATTGGCATAAATAT